TCAAATAATGAGGGCGTAATCTTTGGGTGGTATCTTATCTCTAATAAATGTACCTTCTAAAAGTTTGACCCGAAACGTAAGCTGGTAAAACTCTCCCGAATATGTGAAGAGGCTGAGGCATGAAACTTTTATAGCCTACAGATTTCTTGAACCATTCCATCTTGTTAGAGAGATTGGGTCTTGAATTTTTCAAATACCATACTGATAACCTTGGTGTTATCATCTATGAAAGAAATAGAATGATGATAATCCCATTGAGTGGATAACTTAATCCCGAAATGTTTGAATATGTCAAGTCAAAATATGCACTCATACGAAAAGAATAAGACTCGAGAGGGGGAACACAATGATTATTCATAAACTTCACTGTTAAAATTTGAAATAGCATGATTGAAACCTTGAAGATGGTCTTCAAGGTTTGAATGAGGATGGCTCAAATGATAGTACCATTCATAAAAGGGAATAGAGGAGGATAAGGCAATAGTAGTAACATCCATGAGATAATAAAGAGTTACAACTTCAACACCACCGGTCATCTTCTTAATGCTTATATCCTAAAAGCAGAGTAAGGAAGATAAAAGGTTAACTAAACAGTTGTGAGATTTTATGAGGCAATATATAGATAAAATGTTTTCAAGAAACTTTTGAACAAACTAAATATTGGCTATTGTTAGTGAGGGATGAATAAATCCTTCTTCAGAGGCTAGAGAAGGAGAACCGTCAACAGTAATAATAGGTTTGACTGATATCATAATAAATTATGAAAATAGTTATATGTTATCTCAGATAGGAAGAAGCTGATACGCCCTAGGGTTTCACAATTTCGGTTTTGCCCTAATTTCCCCCAAAAGAGAGGAAGTTCTCCACCAAAACCAAAGAGAAATAATCACAAGATTGTTGGGATGAAAAACAAGAACATTTGCATTAGAAATCCAAGAGAAAACAAGATAAGTTTGTCCACTTCGAGAAGGACAAGATCTCCCACAAGAAAACCCTAGAAAAGAACAAGAAGGAAACTAGAAGAAGAAAACTAGAAAGAGAATACACTTTTCATAATGCCTCCAACTAAACCCTAATGGCCCCCTTCATACAATCCAAAAGTCCCTCACATCCCTAAATTACCCCCACTTAAGTGGGTGGGCCCCTTTTTTGTCCAGCCGGTCCGCCCGCCTCCTATAGACCCGCACGGGTCTAGGATGGACCGGCCTCTTTGCCCTAATTTCCCCCCAAAAAGAGGAATTTCTCCACCAAAACCAAAGAAGAACAATCACAAGAGGGTTGAGATGAAAAGCAAGAACCTTTGCATTAGAAATCCAAGAGAAAACAAGATAAGTTTGTCCACTTCGAGAAGGACAAGATCTCCCACAAGAAAACCCTAGAAAAGAACAAGAAGGAAACTAGAAGAAGAAAACTAGAAAGAGAATACACTTTTCATAATGCCTCCAACTAAACCCTAATGGCCCCCCTTCATACAATCCAAAAGTCCCTCACATCCCCAAATTACCCCCACTTAAGTGGGTGGGCCCCTTTTTGTCCAGCCGGTCCGCCCGCCTCCCCTAGACCCGCACGGGTCTAGGATGGACCGGGTGAACCGGTCCATCAGAAGCATCTAAAACTTTAGATGCGTTGACATGACCAATTGCAACCGAGCTTGAGGAATAAATTGAGAGGTTGAAATGGTTGATTAAGAGTTGTATAAGTTGGTCATAGTTACATTGGGAAATGAAATGTAAGTAGCATCAGTAGAATTAGTTGTAGTAAAGTTATGCTGAGTGGTTGGAAGATAGTCCAAAAATTTCCAAACAATGTTGAGATGGATGATTTAGCTTTTGAAAATGTTGACATGGTCAGAAGGAGTTGTGATCACAACTAGGATCAGGTCATCCATAATGACTACGGCAATCTCTTACTATTGCGACAAGAGCAATATGATTATGATCAAGAGTGTCTGGTAAAAGTACCTAGCAGAGAGCAGCGGAGATGTTTGGAATAGTAAAGTTTTCCTTTAATTGAGCTAGAATAGATCAGAGGGATGGATGAAACCCATAAAGGAACATAGCAAAACTCTCCATTGCATTTTTAGTAGTTGGATGGGTGATGTATTAGTGAGATATTGAACAATTTTATCCCTTTTTTTCTTTCAAAGTGGTGTTGTAATCTTGATTAGATGTCTCCTTGTTGCAACGAGAATAGTTTAAAGCAAAAAGTGCTTACCTAGTAGATGTTATTCTGAAAGTTGGAGTGAAAAGAGTCCTACCCCTTTGGCAATCTCTTGAAATATTACAATAGATTCAATAGTGGATTCCAGATTATTGAGCATCCATATGAGAATAACATACTCACAAGCCTTCCATTAGATACATTCAATAATGCTCATTTGTACGTGAGGCAAAGAGTCGAGATGATTGAGTTTTTGATGAGACTTATTGAGGAAAGAATAATACTTAAATCTCATAATATAGTTACTACTGTTGTGTTTGATAGACATATCAATTGAAGATTCTAGTTTCATATTGAGGAAAGATAAGGAGACAAGAAGAGAACATTAAAAAAAGGAAGAGTTTAAGGGGTATTTGGTTGCAAATAAAAGTAATGCAAGTTTTTTTTTTGTGTGTTTGATTTGAGTTAGATCAAATATAAAGCATCTATGTAAGGGATTTAAAGTAGTTTAAAATTCTTCTTTTATGAATTTGAAATTCAGTTAAATAAGATAAATTTCAAATGCAGGCAAAACTCATAACCAGTATCCTCAACTCCCCCTCCCCCAAGGAATTTCGTTTGCCTCTATATCTTGTTGTTGTCCCCCTCCCCAATGAATTTGGTTTACCTCTATAGTTGTTGTTCCCCTTGCTCTATAGTTGTTGTTCCACTTGCTAGTCATCCACGGCTTGCCTCTACTTTCATTATCCATCATATTTTAGTACATTTGAAGTTTATCATTATGAAAAAAATTTCATTGCATTTGATTAACATTTAAGATATAACTCATACATTTCTAAAATGAATGCATTTCATTATTTTGAATTTTTAATATGCATGTATTTTAAAAACATCCTACTAAGCAACTCCTACGAAGTCGGAGACCCATAAGATAAAAAAAGGATTGTGTTTGGTGATTAAAGAGTGAACATGTCGTTGGTATTGGTTTGGAGAGTGATATTGAGAGATCAAGGTGCATGCGCAATGATCCAAAACAATAGTTTGCGTGGTTCGTAGGGATAGGAACATTATATATAATGGTTTGCAGCATAAGGAGTGTGTGGATGGTGGCGTGTTGCTTGAAAGTGACATGGATGATAGTGTAAAAGCTCAAGTGCATGCATGAACATGGATTCAAGCGCAAGTAAAAACAAAAGGTGTGAGTTGCTGTGCAAGTGGAAAGGTTATGGGGGTTTCGATTAAGTAAGTTAGGGAAGGAGGGGAAGGCTAGCATTAGCTTAACCTTGCTCTAGTACCATGATAGAGGGAAACAACTTTTGTTGTATATTTTTCAGTAGAAGTCCTCTCTCAAATAGAAGAATGATAGTAATATTATCAGGAGTAATAAAATAATAGTACACCACTCAATAAATTTAGATCTTTTTTCATAACTTGATATTCTCTTATGCTAACTATGGCTAGAAATTATTTTCTACATCCAATACATTAGTTAAAAAATATTCATGAATTGGTAGTTTGATACGCATGTGCCGGCCCAGGAGGGGCCGGCTGGACCGGTCCAGCCCGGATCGGTCCAGCCCGGATCGGTCCAAGTCTACACGAGGCGGAACCGAACAAGGCGGGCGGAACCGAGCGGAACGAGCCAATCCGACGGAGGCCAAGGAAGAGTTTTGGGAGGGAAATTTTGAATGCAAGGGGCTGTTTAGACATTTTGTAAAACTCCTTTATGGTTAATTAGGAGGTTAGGAGGAAAAGGGGGGATTATCTTGAATTTGAATTGTTTTGAGATCTAGGGTTGGTGTTCTTGGGCTCTTGGCTACGCCGGAGATCTTGTGAGAGTTTTTCCTTCCTCTCGAATTGAAGGAAAGTTGTATCTTACAAGTGCTTTTCATCGTCTAGTGGAATAAAAGTGTTTGCTTTGTTTTTCTACGAATTTCCCTACGTTTTCTCTCAGTTTTCTTGGTGGTTTTGCTGTTTTTCCGCTGTGGACAGCAGTAATCATCTGGATCTATTTCAGTTTTGGCTAGGAACACTTGGGAATCCAAGTGTTTCCTATCATAGTTTTTCTTCAAGAATATTAAATTTGTTCATACATAATCCTTGTGTTTGTGTGTGCTTGATCAGCTTTGTATTGTGGTTTGAATGATTTGTCTTAAAAATATTAGGCATAGGTGTATTATTTTTAATAGTGGGATTATAATAATATTTCCCAACCATCTTATATCTTTAGAGAATTTAACTTAATTCATCTTTCATTTCTTACTTAAAATTTTTAATAAAATAGATATTGATAACAAAGTAATATAAAAAAATAATTTTGGGCTCTAAGTCCTTTAAATTTAATAACATGTAGAAGTTTGTTACTACAAAAATCATTCACTAAATTGAAAATCATGCACTTATAGAAAATCAAATTGTATCAAACTTGAACAAATTCAATCTTGCATGCAAACACCAATTATAAGATTATGAAAAAAAATGAGGCAAAAGGAAAGAAACCACAAACTCAAAAGAATCAAAACTCATGCTTTTACAATGATATAATCTCTCTCGTAAATTATGTTTTTGAATTAATCATGGAGTATATTAGGATAAATTCAATCACACATGCAAACCAATTATAAGATTTTGAAAAAGAAGAGGCAAAAAAGAAAGTAACAAAACTCATGCTTTTACAATGATATAATCACGTTCGTAAATTGTCTTTTTGAATTAATCATTGCGTATTTTAGGATTAGACTACAAGGAACAACTCATCTAAGTAAAGTTTTTTTTCAGAAATAAATTAATTGTTATTTCACCTGCCACAAATCCCCTTTTTATATTCATAAAGTCTCCCTTTAATTTCCTACAGCAGAAACCTCAATGCCCAACTTGTTCCACACAAAAGTTTCTAGCTTCCATTGATTTCACAGATTCACAAATCTGAAAAGAAAGTCTGCTGAAAGCCACCAAAATCTTGTATGCAAAGGAAATTGCTCGTTAGTTTGTCATTAAAGTGCCATATCCAGAGGAAACCACCACTAGTTTGTTGCTGATTTATATTCTACAAACAAGAGTAGAAAACAATTGCTGGAACATGGTAAGTTGCGGGTTGCAATAACTATCTACTCTAATAGAGGAGCTCCAGCTGGACAAAGCAACTACTCAAAGCTTTACTGCAGAACCTTCCAAAATAAAACTCCGAAGAAGCCCAACTTCACCAGTGGTGCTTATGATTATAATATTTGAAATTGATCCGAGGGAAAAAGAGGTTATAATAGCATGCTCACTTTGCTTAGTCCTAGGACATTGGTGAGAGGAAGATCAAGTTGAGGAGAATCGAGTAAGCGTAAGATGGATATAGAGATGGAGATGATGAGGATAAAGTTTATTTTGTTATTACTGGTGAGGATGATGATTAGATAACTAGTTTGATTATGCTCTTATGGATTTGACACTTTGTACTTTTATACTCTTTATGTGTTGCTTCTTTATACTATTTTAAAACTATTTAGTTAATTATGTTTGCCTTTTACTTATTTGTTCATTTAATTTTAATATTTTGTATGCCATTTGGGTGATATTTTCTTTCTATTTTTAGCTATACTATGACACTAGCTATACTGCTGAACTGTTAGTATATTCTTTATTTTTATTTTCAGGATAATGACTAGATCACTAGTTTGTTTTATGCCTTCATTGATTTGACACTTGTATTTCTATAATTCAGACTAAACACATATGTGTTATTAGTTTTCAAACTTGTTAATTAATTATGCCAGCATTTTTTTTTATTTTTCTGGATTAGTTTGAATATTTTAATATAGAAGCTGTGTGATATATATATTTTTGTCATATTATGACACTAATGATAATATTGATTTATTAATATATTTTTCATATTCATGTACATTCGACACTTTTTATTCTTCTATGCCCAAATCTTCTGTCTTGAAATTTTAATCAGTAAACCTTGCAAATTTGTGGATTTCTAATGTAAAGCTGGGAGATGTTTACTTTTTAGCTTGAAACGCAGATGTGGCAAGATTTAATGTTTTGCTTTTTGGATCGCATTTTGGGTTTGCTGCTCCAAGTTTTAAATTGCATTTTTATGTTTCTGAATAGTCGATTTTGCTGTAATGAGTAAACCTTACAAATGCAAGTGTTTTATGGATAATGACTAGATCAGGATAATGACTAGATCACTAGTTTCTCTTATGCCTTCCTTGATTTGGCACTTGTATTTCTATTATTCAGATTAAATACATCTTATGTGTTATTAGTTTCCGAACTTGTTAGTTAATTATGCCAACAACAACAACAACAACAACAAGCCTTTATCCCACTACGTGGGGTCGGCTACATGAATCCTTTTTCTCCATTGTGTCCTATTAAAAGTCAAATTCTTGTTTAAATCTAATAGAGAAAGGTCATTCCTAATATTTTATAACCAAGTCTTTTTAGGTCTACCCCTACCTTTCTTAACATAAGTCAAATTTAATACCTCTACTCTCCTAACCGGGTCATCGAAAGGCCGCCGTTTTATGTGACCAAACCATCTAAGGCGACTCTCTCTAATCTTATCGAAAGGCCACCATTAATTATGCCAGCATTTTTTTTTTATTTTTCTGGATTAGTTTGAATATTTTGATATATGAGTTGTCTGATATATATATTTTTGTCATATGATGACACTAATGATAATATTGATTTATTAATATATTTTTCATATTCATGTAAGTTCGACCCTTTTTATTCTTCTATACCATAATCTTATAATATCTTGAAATCTTAATCAGTAAACCTTGCAAATTTGTGGATTTCTAATGTTATGCTGGGATATATTTACTTTTTATCTTGAAACGCAGATGTGGCAAGATTTAATGTTTTGCTTTTTGGATCGCATTTTGGGTTTGCAGCTCCAAGTTTTAAATAGTATTTTTATGTTTCTGAATAGTCGATTTTACTTTAGTGAGTAAACCTTACAAATGCAAGTGTTTATTCTAGATTAAGCAAGCTTTTACTACTTACGTTTGTAGAGATATTTGAAGGATATCTCTCTTCCTTACTGTATTTCTTTCTAATTCTTTTGAATTGCTGCTCTTCTCCCGAATAGTTTTTTTTTACATGCCAACACGTGTGGTTGTGGTAGGAGTAATAGTTGTAGTTCTCTGATATATCCTTGTGTTATCCTGGTCCTTCTCATTTTATTATATACTTTTTAAGGATCGTCTTTTAGATAATATAGGAAAAAGTTTTTGCTACTTAATTCTGTTGCACGGATGTACGCAAAAATCCTGACTTGATATTTACAAAGAGATGCTTTTGTTATGCAATTAGCTGCATCTAACACCTAATTTAGATTTTTTTTTTTCACGGTTTTTTTTACTATTATCATAAAAATGCTTGGCTTTCCAGAAGCCCTTTTGTGTTTTTGAAATTGTTTTTTATGTGTTGTTGTGGAACTAGCTGCATCTAATACCTTATTTTGTTTTTCCCGAAGCCCTTCTGATTATTTTTTTCACGGTTTTTGTTACTGTTTCTTCGTTGTGTGGAACTAGCTGCATCTAATACCTTATTTTGATTTTGTTTTTTTCACGGTTTTTGCTACTATTTTCATAAAATACTTGGATTTCCATAAGCTTTTTTGGGTTTTGAAAATTGTTTTGTATGTGTTATACTTCATTTATTTGGCACATACTCTGATACTCTTGTACTTTGCCTCTTTGACCCATTGTGAATATTTTGTTATTCTTATTGGCTTTCTTTTTTTATTTGAGAGAAAAACTTTACCAAAAACTAATAATTGTCTATGTTTGCTTATATTTTTCATCTTTGCAGTTTGGGATGCATAAGAAACGTAAATCTTTCTTGATCTATGGTTTATTTTCTTAATTGCCTAATCTGATTCAATGCGGGGTGACATTCTACAGAGGACTGAAATATATGAATATTCAAAGGTCATTGGAAACTCCCAGTTTGTCTTGCTACCTTTTCAACCATACAAGCTTGTATATGCTTACATGCTAGTTGAAGTTGGAAAAGTATCTGATTCCCTAAGGTGAGTGTTATGATTGTTATTTCTTCCTTATTTATTATTACTTACACAATTATATGCTTGCATAAGGTATTGTCAAGCATCCATGAAGATTCTCAAAAATTCTAGCCGTACTCCAGAGGTAGAGTTGTGGAAGGCATTGTTCGCATCTTTGGAGGAGAGATTGCGAGCCCACCAGCAGGTCTTCTTAGCAAGATACTTCTCCTCCCTCTTTTATTTCTCTCCCTCTCACAGACGTAAAAGTGTGGACATATGCAAAATATGTTTTCAGCTCTTTCTAATTTTGTCTTCAGGGAGGATATGGTGCAAACTTGGCCCCAACCAAACTTGTGGGTAAATTGTTCAACTCCATTGACCGTTCCATTCATCGCATGATTGGTTTACCACCGATACAAAACAGTGCGGACGGTAGAGAGATTAATTCTCTAGTCCAAAAAGTATCGAGTAGTCAGTCCGCAATGGACATTACAACTTTAATGCCTTCACCATCAGTAGAGGCTATAAGTTATTGGACAGGTGACGAAAGCAAGAAAGTCGCGCAAAATAGAAGTATTTCTGAGCCAAATTTTGGTAGAAGCACAAAACAGGTAACCGTCTTGGACATTTAGTTAAGAAAACTTTCTTTGCAAGTATGTTTTTGTTGGAATAGTTCTTAACGGATCAAATAGCTAGTAAATATCTGGAATTTATTCATTTCATCTAGTTTCTTTATCATAAATAAATGCACTCTAATCTTTATGAAATACCACTTTATTCTCAGTATTTTTTTTTCTTACTGTGCAGAATTCATCAAAGGACAGCAGCTCATATGGACAAGGCAGTGCATCAATGTCCAAGGGATCGTCACGCTTTGGACGTTTTGGCTCTCAGCTTCTTCAGAAGACCATTGGCTGGGTGTCATGGTCTAGACATGATCGTCAGGTGTTCTCCCGCAATTGTTTTTATTTCTATATGAGAAGTTTGATGCTTATTTTTCAAACATGTTATTGAAGGCTAAACTGGGTGAGAGCAACAAGTTCTATTATGATGAAAAACTCAAAAGATGGGTGGAGGAAGGTGTTGAGCTTCCAACTGCAGAAGCTTCCTTGCCACCACCTCCAACTGCTGCTTCTTTCCAAAATGGTAAATCACATTATGATGTAAAAAATGCCTTGATGAGTGATATCCATACGACAGATCATAAGCAAGATAAAATAGTAGATGGTCCATCAGAACAAGGGTTTGGTTTGCCATCTTTGCCACCTAGCCAAAATCAGTTCTCGGCACGTAACAGAGATGGGGTCCGATCAAGGTAAATTTTTTTCCTTTTAAAACTTTTTATTAATCCTCCGCTTCAGATAGTAGAGTTGATAGTAGAGAATTCTTGTTGTTTTACAGATATGTTGATACTTTCAACAAAGATGGAGGATCGTAAATTTTTTTCCTTTTAAAACTTTTTATTAATCCTCCGCTCCAGATAGTAGAGTTGATAGTAGAGAATTCTTGTTGTTTTACAGATATGTTGATACTTTAAACAAAGATGGAGGATCTTTTACAAGTACTTTCCAGTCACCTTCTGCTCCATCTGTAAAGCCTTTTTCTGGTGCCAACTTCTTCAGTCCTTCAGCACCTACAAAACATGGAGACAAGAAAAATGATGCTTCTACGAGATCAAGCATCCATGAAACCACCATTATCGAAGAAGCTTCCACTTCTGCCGACCAAGAATCATTGTGTTCCCAATCATCAAATCCATCATCTTTGTCCATGCCAAGGTTTCCAAGTATGGATAACATTACCTCATCACAAAGTTTGCCAAGTTGCAATGGCTCTCTCTCCCGGGCACGAGCATCATCATGGAGTGGAGCCTACCCAGACAATGCCAATAAAGCAGTTGGAATGGAGATGCATTCCTTTGTTGTTACAGGTGTGGCCTCCTCATTTAAACCCCAAAATGATACTACGCACAATCAATCAAGTAGCAGTTCATCTGTAAATCTTGTTGCAGGTGATTCTGTGTTGGATGACCTCCATGAGGTTGAGCTCTGAAGGGTTTGTAATCAAATCAAAGCAGTGATGGCAATGCAAGGCAACATATGCTTTGAACAGTGTTTGATGCTTTTGTGTGAGGGTTAAGAAGTTCATGTTCAGTTCCTCACAATGAGCTCCCAGATTTGAAGTAGGTGCGTGCCCATGTAACGTGAAAACATCTGAGCGCCTTTTGTACAAAGAATTTGTTGATTTTATTCTAAACTGGATAATCCCATATTGCAAAGAAATAGTGGGATTTAGCCGTTGGGAAGAAGAAATTGGTATTAAGCTGGAGTATTGAATTGATAGCCATATATATTTCTTAGTGGCCATTTGCGTGACTATTTTAACTGAGGTTTCAAGCAGTTAACTCGTCTTGACAGATTTAGTAGTGGGAAGAAGTAGAAAGTGTAAAGTAAATTTCTCGGTCATTTGTTTTATTATTCTTTTTGGTAGGACTGCGTTGTCCTTCTGATGTAAATAGTACACAATGTCCAGCAGTTTATCTATGCAGTTTATCTTATAGTGGTGGGTGGATTTTCTTCGGAGTTATCCGTGATAAATGTTTGCATCTTCTCTCTCTCTCTCTCTCTCTCTCTCTCTCTCTCTCTCTCTCTCTTCTTTTTTATCATCTTTTTCTTCATTGCAAGCTTGTGGCTACTACAAGTACGAATCCTCGCACCTCCTCCATGATGACCTCACCACACCAACTCCTTGCAATTCCTCACGTGTTCTACTGTTTCAATGTAGGAAAGGTAAAAGCTCAATTGTTTCGAGTATGGAGCTCCTTGCATGTTCTACTATTTCTGTTAAACGTTTTTGCTCACTTTATTATTCTTAGGAGATATTGTTTCAATTGATGTATAATAGATGGATGATACTTTGGATGCATGGAAGCCACTTAAAGAAGCTTAACCTTGCAATTGCGGAGGAGGTAATATATTTTTAATGCAAATTGATGTTGTATGTTCTTCTGCTGGGGGTGTAATGGCTTCTGGTTTATTGGGTTGCTCTGGGGTTCCCTTATTGGCCCTTTGGTGTCGCTGGCTCTGCCTTTGCTTTGGTTGGTTCTTTTCTTGCCTGTTTTGTTTCTTTTTTGTGTTGTGTCTTTGCTTGAGGGTGTCTAGTGGCTTATTCCTCTTAGGTTTTTTCTGGTCTGCCCCGTTTACATTTGGTTTGTGCAATTTTTGCGATCGTGATTGCTTACTCTTCATGCTTAGTGTTTTTTTTAGGTCTTTTTATAGCTTTGACTGTCGTGCTTTGCCTCGTTGGATGGATTTGCTTCTCATGGTGTTCTTATAGGTTCTTCTCTGTGTCATTTCTATGTTTTTTTTTCTTGTTTATTATTTTTGTCTTGCAGATGTTCCTTTCTCTATGGGTGCTTAATTGTTCAATCAAGCTTGGGTTGAATTTTTGGGTTTTACTGTTTGCCTATCTTTTTTCCTTTTTGTTTTTCTATCCTAATTAGATAGGATTCATTACTCATTATTATTATTATTATTTTGTAGCTCTTGGAGCATTTAGTGAGTTTTGAATCCCTCTAAGAATTTGTAATCCTTTTTTTTTTATATTAACGCGTAAGCTTTTTAAGGGTTTGAACCAACCAACAACAACAACAATATCAAGCTTTTGTCTCAGTACGTGGGGTTGGCTACGTGAATCATTTTTCTCCATTGTGTCCTGTTAAAAGTCAAATTCTTCTTTATATCTAATGAAGAAATATCATTTCTAATATTTTTTAACCAAGTCTTTTTAGGTCTACCTCTACCTTTCTTAAAATAAATCAAATCTAATACATCTACTTTTCTAATCGCTTGGAAGGCTGTTGTTATATGTAACCAAATCATTTAAGGTGACTCTCTCTAATATTTTCTTCCACATGTGCCACTCCAGCCTTTTCACGTAAATGCATTTCATATCCTATCTTTATGGGTAAAGCCACTCATCCACTTGAGCATCCTCATCTCTGCAACACTCAGTATTATGCTTCTCTTTTAATGACCAACATTCGGCATCATAAAGCATTGCAGGTCTCATCACCATCTTATAGAATTTTTATTTAAGTTTGAGGGGGATTTTTCTATCACACAACAAGCCCGATGCATTCCTTCACTGCAACCAACCAACTTGAATTTTGAGGGTTTTAACCCAGAAAAAAAAAGGTGATGAATTTATGAAGTAGCTATTGCATTAGGACTTGGGGTTCATGGATCATGTCATCTTTCACCTTTATTTTTGGAAAAATGCTAACTCGCCTCTTTTTAGATATTGTTCCTCACATCTCTAATAGTACTTACTAACTGTTACAATTTTTTTATTCTATGGCATTTTTTTCATTAATCTTTTTTTTTTGTTGCATATTGCTAGTATATGATATATGTTTACTGACTTTAAGTAGCTGTTTTGGGTGAAATAAAACTTGTTTTTAAGCATATGCAATCATGATAATTGCAATATTGATTACTCTTTCTGTTTCCAACTTAAAAATATAGTCTTTCTTTTAAATGTTATATTTTTGATAAGCACAGTTATTATTTACAACATCTAGGGTTAACAAACTCTTCAGCATTCAAGATATTAGAAAAAAGATTTTTAAAAACATTATGATTCCACCAATTCAAACCTTGTTTAAACCTTTTAAGCTTAAACCAAAACCTCCTCATACTAATGATAGAGTTATTCAGATGTAATAGAGCCTGCCAATTATCCTTAACCAAATCCATAAATGAATCATGGAGCAACCACATGTTTTGAAATCTAAATTGAGAGAAAAAATTAATATGCCTAGTCTTAATAGAAATGAGCAACGGAGAATGATCAGAAAGAGTTCTACTCAAATGTTTAACAGAAGTAGAATTAAAAATATTAAGCCAGCAATCATTAAATAAAACCCAATCCAACCTTTGGCATAAGTGTCCACGATTCCAAGTAAACTTGTTACAAAAAAAATAATATCCACTAATTTGCAATCCATAATCATATTATTAAAATCTTGCATATAATGGTAGATGGGGGACGAGCCGTATAAACGTTAAGCAGGAGAAGAAATAGTATAAAAGTTTCCTCCAACAAGCTAAGGCCTATTGCAATTACTATGAAACTGAATAAGTTGTTCCCATAAAACTCTCCTCAAAAAATGGGAAGAGGCCGCATAAACAAAGGTAACATAACATTAAGAATTTAAAACCTCAATATTACAGTGTAAAGCTTGAGTGAAATCACCAATAACATCAATATGAATAGTGTCCTTCTAAAGAACCCAAATCTTGTTAGCAATATTTGAAATATCATGTTTAAAACCCAAAGATCTAGCCATACTAGTCAATTTAGCAGAAGAAATAAAAGACTAACAAAACTAGAATAGAGACTTTATAAATATGACATAAATTCTTAACACGCAACTTAGAAGAGGGACGCCCAATGCCCCGAACATTCCAAATTATAGAGTTAAACATAAAAAAATAAGATTAATGACTAGTATTGCAATCGAGTAGTTCTAGGCGTTTATATAATAATGCTCTTTTTTTCCTCCCTCTTACTTTGGAACTTGATATAACTAGTGTTGTTATCATCTTTAGCAAAACATTTAGCCAGAATATCCATGTCATCGGTATCAGTTAAAGTATCGCTATGATAGTGAGTATTTAATGAAAAATTACTCTCATTATTCATTCCTGCCTGCCCTTCAACCCGAGGCAGATAACCCTCCTCAGCCAAAGTAACTTCTCCTTTATCAGTATTATTACTCTACTCATTATCAACAATATTCTCCATCAAATTGTTACGGCCAACCACCTGATCATTCACAATAGTATGAGATTGCAAAACATTAGTACAAGTAGCATCTAGTAAGACCACCTCCATATCAGTCAAATTTGTAGCACAACGATTAGAAGAAGAAGAAGAAGAAGAAGGGACTTTATTTATATTAGGAATGATAGGCAACGTTTGTTCCTTTGAATTTTGAGAGGCACCAGGTAAATTAGCACCCAGGTTGAGAATAACATTTTGATCAATGAGAGGATCAACACCATTGAGTGAGGACGATTTAGTAGTAGAAACATAATCCTGTGCCTTAGCACCAATATCCCCAGTAGTATCCAAATTAGAAGTGACTTTAGCACGATTTGTTAAGAGATCTTCCTTAACGAAGGATGGTTTGAAAGGCTCTTTCTCCTCCTAAGATGTGGGTGAAGCTTGTAACACTCGTTAAAGTCATGCCCATGCATCTTACAATGAGAGCAAAAAATAGGTAAATTCTAAAATTCTGCTTTTTGAAAATAGTCATTTAACTCAGAATCAATCCAAATCTCATTAGGGCGTTTTTTTAGATATCTAGCTCAACTAAAACACGGGCCACAGACAAACGTGAAACAGAAGCTGTTGCTTTATCCGTTTGCAACGACCTGCCAAGAATAGAAGCTAAACCAAAAAGAATTTGCGTGTTGAAAAAACGAAGCCTAAGGTTAGGGAAGGAAATCCACACCGGAGCAATAGGAGATTCCTCAGAGACATCAAAATTTGGTATCCATTTGAGTAATCTTATTTGGCATGCCTGAATATAGTAGGATCTCCGGGAAAAAATACAACTATAATCCAAATCATTGGTCAATTAAATCGCAAAATATCTCGAATCAAGTAAATCGATATGGAACGATCCCAATAGCTTCAGGTTAATGAAGAACTTACGGATTACATCAAGATTTGGACGCCTGAGCAGAAATTTTTTGACTAGAGTAAGCGCAAAAGAAACAGCTAGTGGCGACACAATAGAGTCATCAAACATCAAGGAATGACAACCCTTGAATGACGTATGAATAAACTGAAGCTTAGGTGAAGAAGAGGAAGATCCAGCAAGCACTTCCTTAAATGAATGAGACTTACCATTAGAAACCACAACGTTCGGAGGGTAAGGAGTTGTCATCTCCCTAAACAGCAAAAACTAAGAAAACGATCAAAATAAAAAAGCAAAACCAGCACAATATAAGGAAGAAGGAAATAAGCGAAGAAAAGATGTTGACAATTAGGTTGCTTCGTTATTGCCTCCATAATTTGATGCCTTCTTATAATAGCTACTATAATTCTTTTCACAAATTTTAGTCATTAATAAAATTATTGTATTGATTGTCTTTGGATTTTTTATTATTATATAACTCTAATGAATTATTTTTTTATTTTCTTTCACTGAAAAATTTTATTTAAAGAAACTTTTATTATTTTTAAATATAAAATTTAATTCAAAGTCTCAAAATAAACTTAAACAATTAAAAATATAAAACATCATTATCTTAACATGTAGTGATAAACTTATTAATTTTACCTATTTATTAATTAAAATGTAATAAAAATATATAATTTTTACATTTTATGATATTTTATAATTTTTTAGTTTAGGCATTATATAGCCCAATTACCGTGTAGTTTCAAGTGTAGTTATTAATTTTAGTTTAAGAAAGGGCGAAATTTTTTAAAGGACCACATTTGACATAAGATTTAGGAGAAAAAACGTGATAGAAATTCAATTTAAAAATGG